TCTATCAATCGATCGATCTATATCCATCTGTCTGTCTTACTTATCCATATCTACCCATCAATTCACCTATTCTGTCTGATTTATCCATTCTGTCTGATTTATCTATCCATCCATTTATCCATTCTATCCATTCATAATTTGGGGCAGAATCCTGTTATTTTTTAATAGCAATTTGCAATTTTAGCTAAGGGGTCTGCAGCACCCTCTTGTGGACAGCAAGGATCATGACTGCTTGGAGGCAGTTCTGGATTGCCAATGATTTTACCTATTTGTTTTTTGTTAAATTGATTTGTGAATTGATTTTGCCTGGCAAAATCTGGCGTGAATATTCATGGGTTCTTTCTTTCTTTCTTTCTTTCTTTCTTTCTTTCTTTCTTTCTTTCTTTCTTTCTTTCTTTCTTTCTTTCTCTCTCTCTCTCTCTCTCTCTCTCTCTCTCTTTCTTTTTCTTTTTCTTTCTTTCCTGCAGTGGGTGCTGAACAAGATTCATCTGGATCCTGGAGGAGCTTGCCTCCATGTACCCCGAATCCACCACGGACTCCCCGGCCAGATTCTCCATCCGACAGACTGGATCCCCAGGTATGATTTACAGGTGAGTGTGAGCGTCATCCAGCCGTGTGTGTCGTTTGCAAATCGGTCCCGTCCGAGCGGGTTATAAAGAAATAAATAAAATGCAAAGGAAGTACAATAATGTCAGTAGCACATGATTTATCCTCTCTAATTAAAAGATAGTCAGAAATATCCAAGCTTCTTTTCTGTTGCAATTCCCACCTGCTCCACTTGGGGGTGTTTGTTGACCCAAGACCAGGCCACCAGCCATAGAGTCTTGGATTGGAAGGCCAGAGTGTCTGGGGAGACAGTATGTTGACTCAACCCTCTTGACTCAAGACCAGGCCACCAACCATAGAGTCTTGGATTGGAAGGGCAGAGCGTCTGGGGAGACGGCATGCGATTTGTCCCAATATTTGCCTCTTTCTTTATGCTTTTCTTTTTTAAAAAAAGAATCTGTGATTTGTGGAATCTCTCTTCCTTTCTTCCTTTCTTTCCCCTTCTGCTTTCCGAAGCGCTCGTTACGGAAGTCCGAAAAGACAGCTCCAGTTTTACAGGTAATTTTGTCCTTTTTAAAAATCCTCTTGGTGGTTTCTGGGCTTCCAAAAGTCAGGGATTCCCCCAAGAGGTCGACTCTGTGACCCCCTAATTGTGCGTTCCTCCGTTTGCCTCAACCGCTGTGCATGTCTCCTCTTGGGAAAATGAGATTTTTCTCACTTATTCTGTTGGTGGCTGGTCGGGTTTTTGCAGGGAAGGAGAAATCAAAATTATCCTGCTCGGAAGGGGTGGTAGGTTTTTAAATTCCAGGCTGTCGTCCTCATTATAAAAGTTGCACATTTTTACAGGCGGTTCTTGTCTTACGACCAAAATTGGGACGAAGAAGCTCCGTCACTAACGCGATGCAGTTCTTCATTGAGTCACACCCTGTTTTAGAACCATTTTTGCTGAGGTCATAAGTACATGCCAGTTGCAAAGCCTACGAATTTTGATCACGTGACCGGCGGGGGGGGGTGGAGATACGGCAATGGTTGTAAGAGTGAGAAACAGACAGAAGTCACTGTTGTATCTTGGAACGGTCACTAAATGAACAGTTGTAAGTTGAGGCTGCCTATAAAACAAAAACTGGAGCTCGTCTTGCATCAGTGTATTCCCACCGCCGGATTCCCACACTCAAAAAAGTGAGGCCACTTTGCAGAAGGTGCCAGGCGATGCATCAAGGGGACGTTCTGCCAACTAGCAGAGCTTCTGGCACCTTCCCTGGTGTCCGTCGTTGCTGATGGGTTGGCAAAAGCCGGGCTAATTAGCTCTTCTCCCCAGAGTGAGACTGGGAAACTGTCCAGCATGTGTGAATCTGGGGGAAAATGCATTAAGAGACGAAGGGAGGAAAAACAGAAGCGTCTCTCGTATCTTCGGCCTTCTTTGTGGCCAAAGGGGCCAGGCAGTTTGGTCATCTCTGCGTTGGCAGGGGGACAATGGAGGGAAGCAAAGAACTGACCTGGATATCTCGGCTTACTAGGATGGGCATCAGGCAAGGGGATGCTTTAGGGGTCTTTGGAATGCGTCTCCTTGTAGAGAGGACCACGGTTGCTTCTTGCCTGGATGTGGATAGCTGGCATCGTCTGTGGTTTTGTTTGGCAATCTTGGCTTGTTGGAGGGAGGGACGTGGAGGAGGTGGATGATGGGGTGGGATCTTGGCTTGTTGGAGGGAGACATGTCTCTCCTATCATCTGTTTTCACCCTTAACGGGATTTCTGGGTTGAATGTCGGACTCCTGCCCTCCCTGCCATTGTCTGCAGAGCTTCGGAGAACACGGAAGTGCAAATCAAAACCCTTCTTCCCGTCTCATGAAAGCGGCCGCCTGTCGCACATTAAAGTAGCCGTCTCCACGTCTTATGAAAGCAGTTCATTAAAGCAGCCTCTCCCCAGGATTTCCCAGGTACATGCCCAAATTAAAACCCAAGCCGGTGAATTTGGGCCAAAGTGGCAGAGATCACAATGGACCCAAGGAATCCTCCATCCGTTGCAAAACGTGGGAATCTCAGCACACGTCTCTCCTAGTGTCTGGTTCCACCCTTAACGGGATTTCTGTGTTGAATGGCGGACTCATGTCTGTCCCTGCCATTGTCTGCAGAGCTTCCGAGAACACGGAAATGCAAATCAAAAACCTTGTTCCCGTCTCATGAAAGCGGACGCCTGCCGCTCACCAAAGCAGCCATCTCCGCGTCTTATGAAAACAGCTGCATCAGCAGCTCATTAAAGCAGCCTCTCCCCGGGATTTTCCAACTTCATGTCCCAATTACAATCCAAACCGGTGTATTTGAGCCAAGGTGGCAGTGAACCCAACAGATCCATGAAGTCCTCCAGGGGGACGTCTCTCCCATCATCCATTTTCATCCTGAACGGGATTTATTTGGCGTTTCGAATCATGGGCTCCTGTCTGTCCCAGACCTTCCTCGCTCGTCTCATCCATCATCCTCTCTCATCGTCTCCACCGTGGCCGGCCACGGGGCCGGAGAGCCGCCTGCGACAGCAAGTCCCCGCTAATAAAAAGGTGCCCGATCCGTCGATCGATCCGAGCCGTCCATAAATCAGTTTCTTCTGCCAGAAGCTTTTTAGCACTAGAGACGCCGTTGAATAATTTAGCTCGGATCATCATAACCGACTTAATGGATTTCCTGCTAAATTCTCTCCGAGGCTCTCGGGAGGATTCGCAATGGCTTTTCGCAACTGGAGTGGACTTTTTTCCTCCCACCCCCCCCACTCTTGCATGCACGGCCACGCCTGTGCGCCGTTTTGCACCCGTCCGCGAGAGAAAAAAAAATATCTAATAAGACGTTATCTTTTAATGAGCAGGCTCGCCAGACCCCAGGTGAGTGCGGACCTCCGGATAAGAAGGAAGCGAAGGGGATCGCAGGTTTTAGATTTTGGGGAGTCCCTGAGCACCCCAACAACACCGAGCTGTAGATATTTTGCTGGCTGGGCTCGGAGAGTGGCTTTGAAAAAGCTTAATTGTGTGCCTTTTGGAGCTTTATACGGTGTCTCTATCCCGTACGGGAATTTGAGACCACAGTTGCACATTTTAACTGTGGTTTATGGCACAGAACGGGGTGCCCCCACCTCTAAGTAAACCAGATTTACTTAGATAAATTAGATATTTTTTTCTATTCCTTTCCACCCTACAAGAAACTCAAGATTCCCAAACTTGGTGGGACGGCTGTAGAATAGGCAAGCTCACGGCATCAGGGTGTATTCTTTTTGTCCATCAGGATTGAGTTTCTCTCTGCTTAATTTTTTTGGGGGTGGGGGAAGGATGGATGGGGTGTTTCCTGGACACACACCCCCATCTCTTGAAATAGAATCACCTCATTGTTGCACCTCAGGTTAGCAGTAGAGCGGTGGATGTGCGTGCAAAATGGTGCATGCCTCGATATTTCTATTTCTTTTTTCTCTCTCTCACAAGCCAGGATTAATTTATCCTCGTTTTTCGGTTGCAACTTTGAGCAGTCCGCTTGTCTTTTTATGATTTGGCTTTAATTAATTTAATTTTTTTTTCCTGGTTGACAGCTCGGTTGAAATTAGCCGCGAGTGGGTTAATTCGGGGCCCGGGACCCTTTTGCATCCAGACAGTGTCCCTTGGTGAAAAAGCCTGCAAGCTTCCCCACATCCTGGTAAAAAAAAACAGGGGCTTGGGAGTGTCGCAGAGAATTCCACCCATCTTCCCAGTGGCGAAGTTTGAAAAAGTGAGGTTTAGAGGCTGTTCCACCTCACAGGGAGTCCTCGACTTAACAACCAAAATCGAAGCCGACATTTCTGTTGCTAAGTGAGATAGTTAGCTGACTTTTGCCTCATTTTACCACCTTTCTGGCCACCAATAAGCGAATCGCTGCAGTTGTTAATAACACAAGCAGTTGAGTGAATCCGGTTCCCCTCTTGCGTTTGCGTGTCGGAAGGTCGCAGAAGGGGATCACATGACCCCCCTCTCCCAGACGCTGTGACCGTCATAAATACGAGTCGTTTGCCAAGAGTCCAATTTTTGATCACGTGACCATTGGGGGAATCTGCGACGGTCGTAGGTGCGAGGACCGGCCCTGAGTCGCTTTTTTCAGCACCGTTGTAACTCCAAATGGTCACTAAACAAACTTGTAAGCCGATTGCAAAGCATCTGGGTTTTATAATCACATGACTGCAGATGCCACGACAGTCGTAAGTGTGAGGACCGACCCCAAGTCCCTTTTTTCAGTGCCGGTCACCAAACCCGTTGCAAGCCGAGGACTACCCATAATCCTTTTCTGCTCCGGGCGAGGACACCAATGCTTGCAGTCTTGGTCACCAACCAGGCACCGGTGCGAGAGCCGAAGGGAAGGCAAGATTGCCGGCAGCCGCGGCGAGAGCGATCTAAGGCGAACCCCCTCTCGTCCCCGGACCCCGTGCAGGTCCTCCGGCCGAGGGCACCATGCTGTCCATGGCGTGCAGCGGGAGCCTGCGGAGCGTGGCCAGCCGCTCCCACTCCGAGTGGGGCCTGCAGCAGTTGCCCCAGAGCGACAACATCGAGCTGCAGAAATTTAGGGAAATCCGGGCGGCGGCCCAGACGCGGATCAGGGAAGAGTTTCTCCGGATGCACGGCCTGTCTCTGGACGAGTGCACGGCGCAGACGACGGGCATGAAGTATCGGTAAGCCGCACGGGTTTTTTTCCCCGCACGCTGACGCTCGTCTTTGCAGACCTTATCCTTTGATATGTGGATTGGGGCCTGGGCAACTTCTTATTATTTTTTTTGAGGGGAAGGGAGGTTTGAGGAAGTTCGCATTTCATCCCAATGGTGCTTTTTCAGGAGTCAACTGGACTTGGCTCGTTTTAGTTTGGCCGATTTATTTAGTTTGGCCGATTTATTTAGTTGGCCGATTTATCTAGTGGAGACGCTGAATCCTCTCGGCCCATAGTGGATTGTGTTCATAGTTTAAGGGAAGATGGAAACGGTATAAAGAATAAAATATATTTGGATATAAAGCTTCTCACGCGTCCTTTTCTCCTCCAGTCCTGTTCTGCATTTATTTTTATTTTTTTGCAACCGAGCGCTAAGCAGAAATATCGCTCCGCTTAATTTTATTTTATTTTTTTCCCCGATTGTGGGGTGAAAAGACCCGGCTTCTGATGTTATTTTCAGAGAATTTGAGGGACATTCGCGAGATGCGTTGCTCTTGCACTTGGGGGTTGTGAGAGGGCCGGGGTGTGTGTGTGTGTGTGTGCAAATTTCCCGTAGAAACCATTCAATTTGCTGGATGGATGGATGGACAGGTAGATGGATTGATAGATGACAGAAAGATGGACGGGTAGATAGATGATAGACAGATTAATAGATAGATGACAGATGGATTGACAGATGATGGATGGATAGATAGATGATAGAGATTGGATGGATAGACGGGTAGATAGATAGATGACGGATGGATGGATGGATGGATGGATGGATGGATGGATGGATGGTTAGATAGATAGATAGATAGATAGATAGATAGATAAATAGATAGATAGATAGATAGATAGATAGATAGATAGATAGATAGATAGATAGATAGATAGATAGATAGATAATAGACAAATGGATATAGATGGATGAGGGAGCAATATATTTCTGAATTGTTTGTGTAGCTCCTTTGCTTGCCACTAGGTGGCACTGTCTGAACAGAGAAAATATATGCTGGTTTCTTAACATTTGCAATAAATCTTGATAAATCCTCAATTTACGGCCACAGTTGAGCACAGTATTTCCATGCTAAGCAAGACGGTCTTTAAGTGTGTTTTGCCCCATTTGAGGGCCTGTCTTGCCAACCCTGCAGAGACAGAGTTTATGGCAGCTTCCAGGCAGATCCCATCCCATCCTCTATTCTGTTCTGTTCTGTTTTCTATTATTTTATTTTACTTCCGTCCAAGAAACCGGTTCTTCCTCCATTCCTGCCCCTTCTATTTCCCTTCTCCTAACTTCCCAGCCACCAGCAAGGTTGTCAAATTGTCCATTTTTCCTTGGAGGGGGAAAAAAAGGGGATTTCCAAAGCTTTAGGTGCCATTTTTGGACACTGTGTCCAGATGGCCCAGTAGGGGATGTCTCTTAATTCTCACACCCACACAAACACACATGGAGACACACACACACACACACACACAAACCCTTTTTGCAAGAAGCACCCCGCCGGGCACCTGCTTTGACTCAGAGGGCAGAACCGGGCGGCGCGCCATAAATATTGTATTTCTTTCCCTGAGTTGCCATGAATATTGCAGAGGTCTCTGTTTATGACTCCGGGTGCATGGAAGGACATTTGGAAAAGTGTTGGGTTACAGGCTTTCTAATAAGGGCTGATATATTATTCATCTCTTGCAAATAAATAAATTAAAAACAAAACAAACCAGAAAAGGCCTTAGGAGCAAAGGGAGCCTCCGCTTGCCGCTGAGAAATTCAAAATAAAAATTGGCAAAAGCCTCACTGGGTTTAGAGAGAGAATTGTTTTGGGGTGGGGGAAGATATGGGGGGGTGGGGCGTCCTGTGCGACCTGCCTGTTGTTACAAATTATCCGAAGAAAAATAACAATAAGAGAGTCGGGAGGGACCTCGGAGGTCCTCTAGTCTGACCCCCTGCTCAAGCAAGACACCACGGAGACCATTTCAGACCAGTAGTTCTGTCTAGTCTCTTCCTGGAAGCCTCCAGTGACGGAGCATCCAGAACAATCAAAATCCAGCCACTTGGCAACTGACTTGTATTTGTTGCAGAGGAGGAGGAGGAAGAGGAAGAGAAGGAAAAGGAGGAGAGGAAGAGGAGGGGAGGAGAAGAAGGAAGAGAAGGAAGAAGGGAAGGGGACAAAAAGAGGAGGAGAGGCAGAGGAAAGGAGGAGAAAGGAGAGTAGGAAGAGGAAGGAGAGAAAGAGGAAAGAAAGAGTAGAGGAAGAGGAAGCAGAGAAGGAAGAAGGGAAGGAGATGAAAAGAGGAGAAGGGGAGGAAGAGGGAAAGAAGAGTGGAGAAGAAGAGGAGGAAGAGAGAAAAGGAGGGGGGAGAAAACCTGGGGGGAGGGCAGAGGCTGCCCCCTCCCTCTGGAGAGCCCGCTGATGACCTGCAGCTTTCCTTCCTCCATGGAGGGGAGGAGCAGCGGGAAGACGAAACAGCCCAGCCCGTTGTGAAAGGACAGCTTGTGTCTCTCCGGGTGTGTGTGTCTGTGTGTGTGTGTGTGTGTGCACGAGGCTTGCGGTCTCTCTGGGCGCCAAGGAGCAGGAGCAGCCGTGCGTGGCAGACTCGGAGAAGCCTCCCTGCTCCAGCTGCCTCTCCAGCCACAAGCCGGACGGATCTGGCATTCGCACAACCCTCCTTTTTCTGGAGCTGCCCCCCCACCCCAGCTGGGGCTCACTCGGGGTGAGGCCTCCGAGGGGCTGCCCCCTCCCCCCCTTTGACCGGACCCGTCTCCTGCCGCTCGTCCCATCCGAGAAAAGGATTTTTTTTTTGCCCCCTGCCATTCCGTCTCCGAAAGGGCGCCGGCTCAGTGGCCGGCATGCAAGTCTCCTTCGCCTGCTCGGAGCACAACGTCAAGAGCCGGAGCACGGAGGAGCGGCTCAGCCGGCAGAATGCGGGGAGCCCCGGGGCCCGGGGCCGCTTTCGGGCGGTGGCCATGGTGGCCCACAGCCTCGGCCAGCTGTCCACCCAGAGCGTGGCCCCCTCTGGCCCGGCAGCCACCAAGCAGCCCGGCATGAAGCACAGGTAGGGGGCAGAGCGGGCAGGGGGGGTTTCCCCGGCAGGCGGTCCTCGACTTAACGACCACAACGGAGCCCCGGAGACAGTTTGCTCTGTTTTATGACCTTTCTGGTTGACTCCACTGCGGTTGTTAAATGAGTCACATGGTGGTGAAGTAGAACTTTTGCTTGTGGCAAAAGGGGACCCGGGACACTACACTGCAAAACCGTCGTAAATACGAGTCGGTTGCCAAGTGGATTTTGATCACGTGACCTTGAGGATGCCACAACGGTCGTTAAGTGTGAAAAAAGGGTCCGAGGTCCCTGTTGTCACGTCAAACGGTCACTAAATGAACTGTTGTGAGTCGCCACGTGCCCGAATTTTGATCCCAGGGGGATGCCACAAGGGTCGTAATTGCGAGGCACGGTCGTAAGTGTGAGGAGCAGGTCATGAGTCAGTGCTGTCGTAACGTGGAACAGTCATTGAACGAATAGCGATTGGAATCAGGGATTACCTGAAATAGGTTTTTTCTGCCCAGATTTTCACAATGTCGGTTTAAAGACTCAGCTGCAGCACACGCTGGATGTGTTTGTGTGTTTCCTCGCAAGCCAGCATCAGCACAGTCGCCAGCAAAAAAATCCTCTTTTTCACATGCTTGTTTGTGTGTGTATGTGTGTTTCAGAAACCTCGGGAAGTCTGGACTGCGGGTTTCCTGCCTCGGCTTAGGTGAGCGAACGTGGGTGTGAGGGTTTTTGTGGGTCTCCTGTTTATCTCCTCAAATCCAATTCTACCCGTTTCCTGGGGTACTAAAATAATAATCATAATTAACTGATCTAATTATTAAATAAAATATTGATTTTTATTCCTATAGGAACATGGGTGACTTTCGGAGGACAGATAACAGACGAGGTGAGGATTTTTTTACCACTTAAGTTTTTTAGGATGTCGTTTTTGTACGTTTGGTAGCTTATTTTATTTTTTATGGCTTGTTTTTTTTAAAAAAAAATATTTTAGAGCCGATTTTATTTTTTTATATAGTATTTAGAGCTTTGTATTTTATTTTATTTTATTATTTTTAGATTTTATTTTGCTTTAAGGGGAGGGAGCTGGGCCCCTCGAAACCTCACATCCCAGGGGATGAGACTAGCAATCGTGGCTTATTCGGCTGGGTTCCCGGGATCCCATCCCTGTCTGTCTTGCAGGTGGCTGAGCAGCTGATGACCCTCGCCTACGAGAACGGCATCAACCTTTTCGACACGGCCGAAGTCTACGCCGCAGGGAAGTAAGTCTGGCACGCTCCTGGCTTGCGTTCCTTGCGACAACCCTGCACGGTAGGCCCGTGGGAAAGGGTGGAAGAGAAGCATTGGACACAAGGGTAGTCCTCAACTTAACAACAGTTACAACCTCGCTAAACAAAGAGTTGTAAGTGGATAACTATCCATTGGTTTGGTGTTTCTCTTCCACCCTTTCCCATTGGCCTGCCGTGCAGGGCTGTCGTAAAGCTTAACCTTGGCCGAATAGACCCTGGGCAGCTTATAAAATGGGGTGGGTGGGAAAGAACAGCACAAAAATATTTTGTGATTCTTAGTCTCGCCCATCCGGGTTTTTGCAATTGATCATCCTGCAAGGAGTCAGTTCGGTCAACTGATGTGTCTCTGCATGAGTCTGCGTTCTCTTCCTAAATGAAGAGGAGGATGCAATTTTGGGGCAGCTCCTGATGCCAAGTCACAAATATGGACCCAGATCTTAAAATCCCTCGGCCCTCTTTTTTCTGAGCCAAAAAGCCTGACCTGCTTTTTGCGGAGTTCCCCCGCAGTGGTTTTTATGAGTTCCTGTTCATCTCTCTCTCTCTTTTTTTTTTTTTCCCTATTCTGTAGAGCTGAAGTCGTCCTAGGCAACATTATCAAAAAAAAAGGATGGAGGTAACTGCTTTTCCTGCAACCAATTTCCTTTTGCGTGAGCGTTCTTGAGTCTGCTGCCTTTCACGGCCTCACATGGACTAGAATCTTGATAAAGGAAACTTAATCAGTGGAACAGCCTGCCTCCAGAATTGTGAATGTTCCAATACTGGAAGTTTTTAAGAAGAGACTGGACAAGCCATTTGTCTGAAATGGTATAGGGGTCTCCTGCCTGAGCAGGGGGTTGGACTAGATGACCTCCAAGGTCCCTTCCAACTTTACTATTGTTGTTGTTGTTATATCAAGACTACAATACATACTTAGAATTTTAGATAAGCTTTCCTCAGTGTGTTCATTTCCCAGAATTCCCCAGCCAGCTGGGAGTTGAAGTCCGCTCGGGCTAAATGGGAACTGACATTGGCGATAGAGGTGCTGAAAACAGCCCTGCAGGGTGGGCCTGTCTCAAATCAAACCAAAGCAAAATTGGAGCATTGAGCGCTGTTTAATCCGTGTTCCTCTCTTGTTTTTTTTCCTTCTAGGCGGTCCAGTTTAGTGATCACAACCAAAATCTTTTGGGGAGGGAAGTACGTATTATTTTATTTACTATTTTATTCCACTTATTTAAGGGCAATCGTTCGACAAACGGCTGGGGCACTGTCAGAATTTCGGATCCAAGCCGTAACTCTCCTTTTTTCAGGCAGGGGGTAACTTGGAACCGTTGCTAAGTGGACGGTCGTAAAATGAGGACAGCCTGTTTTATCACTTCATCCTTCTCTTCGTTTCTCTTCCCAGAGCCGAGACAGAAAGAGGCCTCTCCAGAAAGCACATTATAGAAGGTAAATGCTGCCTCCTTCCGTTCTTCATCCCCAAAATGTAATTTCTGATTCAGAAATGGGTCCGAATGTTGATCACGTGACCAAGGGACGTTGCGACGGTCGTAAGTATGAAAAAAAGGTCCCTGGTGGCTTTTTTCAGTGCTGTCGTAACTGTCACTAAATGAACAGTTGTAAGTCGAGGACTTAATGCTTAACCACTGTGGCAAGATAGGTCATAAAATGGGGCAAAAACCCGCTTAACTATCTCTCTTAGCGATGGAAATTTGGGGTTGAGCTGTGGTCGTAAGCCGAGGACTTCCTGTATTTCCTGAGCAAGCGAGGAGCCGTTCGAAATGGAGTCTTATTTTATGTTTAATCATTTTATTGCAAGGGGGGGGTGACGCTTTTCTCTCCCCCCCCCAGGTTTAAAGGGCTCCCTAGAACGGCTGCAGCTGAACTACGTGGATGTGGTGTTTGCCAATCGGCCGGATCCCAACACCCCGATGGAAGGTAAGATCTAATTTAGACGTATTTTAAGATAAGATTAAATCTATTTTCAGATGAAGATTAAATGTATTTTAAGATCAAGAGAACAGAAGAGTTTTGATTTCCCGGTTGACCTAGGAGAGGCCTTTAAAAAATGAAATAAGCACAACCTCTCGCTTCTTGCCTTTTAAAAGGTTCACCGGCCATACGGGCAGTCCTCGCCTTACGACCGTTTATTTCGCAAACTTGGCCCTGGTATAAAGTGACTTACAACGAGTCCCTGCCCTTAAACAACCCTCGCAGCATCCCGTGATCCTGATTAGATAGTTGCCAACTGTACCATTTAGGATAGTGGAAGCCAGTGGGAAATCGCCCGTCACCCTGTGACCCCGGGATGCTGCAAACATAGACACCCAAACGCAATTGTGTGACCTCGGAGAACGCTGCGACAGTCGTAAGCACCAGGGCCGGTTTTAAGTCCCTTTTTTATAGCGCCGTGGTTAAGTTGGAACGGTCACTGAATGAAGAGCTGCTCGACATAAATTTAACGAATCGTCGTAAGTCAAGCTCTGCCTCTAATGACCCAACTTGGCCCAGCCAGCAGGAAGCAAAGGTTGGGGGGGAAAAAATGCCGTCGAAATTCGGATTAACTTGGGTTAGGGGCTCTTCTGCTGGCTTCAGGAGTTGTGTGAATCCGTCCCTTGGATCCTGCGAGTAAATGGTTAAGGATGTGCAACACGACACTGTGAAGGGTAACAGGGCCCCGCTAGCGTTCTTGGCCAGAGAATTCGGGAACCGCTGGAGGCGTAGTGGAGCCAGCCTCCCTCTCTCTCCTGGAGGAGCAGGGTCCGAATTAGGGGAGGGGGCTGCTGCTCTCCCACTCCCTGGATGACGAGCAGGCTTCCCGCTCTAAATTCTCCCCTCTCTCTAATCTGTTTTCTATCACCAGGGAACCCCTTTAGTTCCAAGTCGCGAATATTCGTCATCGAAGGTACCCATCCTTTGATTTCACTGCATCCCAGCGGCATTTTATGGGACAGAAATCCCCAGCATTTCCTTCCTTCCTTTCTTCTTTTCTTTTTCTTTTCCTTTCTTTTTTTAAACTCGTCCCCCTTTTTCGCTTTGGAGACTTTTCATTCTGATTGGCGGAAGCTCCCTTTCCTCCGAGGACGAGCAGTTCGCCATAAAATGCCAAAGGACGCAAAGAATGAAAAAGGAGTATCAAAATAATAACCACTGCCCCTTTAGTTGACATCTTGCAAGGAACGCCGAAAGCACAAAACACTTTATTTGAAAAGGAAAAATAAAATAGCCATCCCGACTCGGTTTTCTCGTGGAAAGGCCTCCCGTTTCCTCCGATTTTCCGAGGCCTCGATTGGCATTGCTTGGAAGATGTCGCCCGATCTCCTGCCCCCTCCCCTCCTCTCCTGTCTCCCGTTTGATGTTGTGGCCTTGATTTCAGTTGGACGGCCGGTTTGTTTTGCCTCTCTTCGGATTAACCACTTCCTTTTTTTTTTTTGTCCCCTCCTCTCTGTCGTCTCGTTCTTTTTTCTTTTTCCCAGAGACCGTACGAGCCATGACCCACGTCATCAACCAAGGGATGGCGATGTACTGGGGGACGTCGCGGTGGAGTTCCATGGAGATTATGGTACGTTCCTCCCACCAGCTCGTGCCCATAATTAAACGCTTGCCAATCCAATTGATTAAGGAAAAAAAAGTCATTTTTCTCGTTTAATTCGGTTTTGCCCAGGTGGACAAGCCAGGTTATAGGGATTGGAAGTAGCGAAACGAGTTGTGGAATCGCGGAAAAAATCAAAAACTTGCTCGTCTTCCCCAACGGTTTTTCTTCGTCCACGTACCGCATTCATCCTGCTTCTCCTCCTCCGATAGGCGGGGGTTTTTCGCTCTCTTTACCTCGACGACCGTGACTTACAACCGTTGAAGAGGTTTCACTTCTCATTCAAGAAGCTTCCTTCAGTTCTTCAGAACGATTCAGTTCTCCAGAAGCTGAAGAAGCTTCTGGGATGAGAGGCGACATGTCTTCAAAGAAAAAAAAAAAGTCCAGCACTTTTGGGACAACCAGGACTTGGATGATGGAGAATCTCCATGGACGTTTGTCCTCCATACCTAACCTAGTTAGAGGTTCTGCATAGTGACGGATCCCTTCTTCTCCATCTTTCCCGTGTTCTGAGTTGCCCTCATCCCTTGCAGGAAGCGTATTCGGTAGCTCGGCAGTTCAACCTGATCCCTCCGATTTGTGAGCAAGCCGAATATCACATGTTCCAGCGGGAGAAGGTTGAAGTTCAACTTCCGGAACTTTTCCACAAGATCGGTGAGCCCCCCTCCCCATCCGTTGCAGGCCGCCGTCCCGCCACCCAAGCGAAAAACAGAGTTAGAAGGGCCCTTGGAGGCCTTCTAGTCCAACCCCCTGCTCAAGCAGGAAATCCCGTTCTTTAGCTTCCCTCTATTCAGGCTGTATGAACCTAGTCGATACAATTTAGTTACTCAGCCGTGCAACCTCTCCATCTTTTCTTCCTTCCTCTCCCAGGCGTGGGAGCCATGACGTGGTCCCCGCTGGCGTGTGGCATCGTTTCGGGGAAGTACGACGGTGGGATCCCACCCTACTCACGAGCGTCGCTCAAAGTAAGCTTCCTTCTCCTCCTTTTCTCCACTTTTGACTCCCCGGAGGGGGAAGCGTCAATCATGGCCGCTCCATCTTCTTCCTCCCGTCTTAGGGTTACCAGTGGCTGAAGGACAAGATTTTAAGCGAGGAAGGCCGACGGCAGCAAGCAAAGCTGAAGGAGCTTCAAGCGATCGCCGAGCGGCTGGGCTGCACCCTCCCGCAGCTCGCCATTGGTAAGTGGGGGCTGGCCTTCTCGTCCAACAACTTCGGATCTTGTGGCGGGGAGTTCCGCAGGGAACGGGGGGAGGGGGGCTCGCCTTCTCGTCCAGCTGTGGTTCTTGCGGCAGGGAGTTCCACAGGCACTGAGCCATTGTACGGGCATTGTGTGTCACAACCCATTGCAGATTGGTGGAACCACACCTTTGCCGTTGTTATGTTAGAAGTCCCGGTTTGGTATTTCTGCTAGCCCGTCAAGGTATATCAGTTCAATGCAGGAAGTCCTGGATTTAACAGCAGTTCATGTAGTGAATTTCTCACCAGCGTGGTGTTTACGCAACGAGAGCGTCAGTTCCGTCTTGCTAGGAGCATCCAACGCGGATCAGTTGATGGAGAATATTGGAGCAATACAGGTGAGAAAAAAGGGGGGGTCTTTTAAAGGCGGGGGGGTGGAAATTAAAAGTAATCTTAAAATTTAAATTTTATATATATATATATATATATATATCCGAAATTACTTTAAAAATGTGATCCCCGGGTATATCCATGTTCAAAGTCAGTCAATAGACGTGAGCACCAGGGAATAAATAATTTAATAAATAAATTTATATATATAAATTTAAGAAAGGCTAAAATGCCTGCATATTTTACAGATCGCCATGTCTTCGGGAACCAAGCCACTATATCTATCTATCCATCCATCCATCTCTATCGATAGATAGATAGATATAGATATAGATAAGATAAAGAGAGAGAGAGATGATAGATAGATAGATAGATAGATAGATGATAGATAGATAGATAGATAGATAGATAGATAGATAGATAGATAGATAGATAGATAGATAGATTTAAGAATGTTTTTTCCTAGATAAGATGCCGGCAAGGATAAAGAGGCGAGAATATAAATTTATGCTACCTTTAATTTTTATCCTTGTTTCTCAACAGGTTCTTTCCAAACTCTCCTCTTCCATTATCCATGAAATCGATAGCATTTTGGGCAATAAACCTTACAGCAAAAAGGACTACCGCTCTTAATAACGGGGGGCATCGGGGGGGCCCCCAGTCAATCTGGGACTGATCCTCCCACCCGCCTCTCTCTCTCTCTCTCCCGTTCGCTTGCTTTAAAGCTTATTCCGAAGAAGCCGAGCGAGCACGGCCGAGTTTGCATCCGAGAATTCAACCCACCGCGCCCGGAGACGTTCCCAGAAAAAAACCTTGTTTTCCAACGTGGCCAGAACACGTGGAGGACTTTTCGCTTTTTTTTAAAAAAAAAATCCCCCCTTTTTCTCCCGCAAATGCAAGAAAGAAGACGTGGGGAAAATGTCGCGTGGATAATCTGGACTTCCGACGCTTCCTTTTTTTGCAACGGGAAAGCAAATTTTCAGCAGTGGGGATTTTTTTTCTTCCCCGTTCCAAAAAATAACTCGTAGGCACAAGTGTCAGTGTTTTTAAACGTTATCTGGACCTCAAACAACCCCCCCCCCCGCCGCCCGGGATTATAGCCCAAAATGTTTGGATGAGACCCTGTGAAGGTTGCCTGAATATGTCAAACCTCACGGAAATACTTTTTCCCTGAGCTTTACCCTAAATGGCCTGTATGAATGGAATTCAGTTAGAGGCCAGTTAGAAGGGAGCCTTGAGGTCCTCTAGTCCAACCCCCTGCTCGGTCCTGGAATCCAAATTCAGCTTTTAGCATTCTCACTGTTCGAAATAGGTTTCCTGTAACTTTGAAATCCAGTATTTCCACTCCCCTGCATCTGAAAGTTTTATTCACTGGGCCTGCTTTGTTGCTGGGCAGCTTCACTGCAGCCGCCAAAAAAGGCCAACGCAATCCTTGGCTGCATTTTCAAGATCACGTGAAGTGGGTTAGTACCGCTTTACGAAACCTTAGTAAGGCCACACTTGAAATACGGCATCCAGTTTTGGTCGCCACAATATAAAAAAGATGTGGAGACTCTGGAAAGAGTGCAGAGAAGAGCAACAAAGATGATTAGGGGACTGGAGGCTAAAACATATAAGGAATGGTTGCTGGAATTGGGAATGTCTAGTTTAATGAAGAGAAGGACGAGGGGGGCCAGGATAGCAGGGTTCCAGTATCTCAGGGGCTGCCCCAAAGAAGAGGGAGTCAAGCTGATCTCCAAAGCACCTGAGGGCAGGACAAGAACCAATGGATGGAAACTAACCAAAGAGAGAAACAACATAGAACTTAAGGAGAAATTCCCTAACAGTGAGAACAATTAATCAATGGAACGACTTGCCTCCAGAAGATGCGGGTGCTCCATCACTGGAGGTCTTCAAGAAGAGACTGGACAGCCATTTGAGCAGGGAGTTGGACTAGAAGACCTCCAAGGTCCCTTCCAACTGTTTTCCTGAATTAACCTGTTTGGAGGATTGGCACAAAACTAACCCAGACATGATCCTGGTTAAGCATCTTGTGCAAACAGGCGGAAAGCTGAAGGGTGCAGGGTGAGGCTTTTGAAGCCCACCTGGGTGTCATCTTGAGACCCCATCTGCAAGTGGGAAGGACTTCCAGGTTTTGTGCGTTGCCTTTGTCTAAGTAAAAATCTGTATTTTATTTTATTTTTTTTGGTTCCTCCCCAAATTTGTTAAGTCCCCCCCCTACAAACGACAAACCACAAGTCTCTAACACACAGCATATATGATTGTAATTATTCCCGAGCTTAATTGTGTAACCTGAGCGTCTCCGTCCTGCTTGTTAAAACAAAGAATCTGGACCGTTAAGACAACCAACTACTGTATTTACAGAATGAATGAACAACTAGCTAAATAAAATCAGGCCTTATTTGAGCGATGGTGTTCCAGCAAACTTTTGTGGTGTTTTTGTGTCTTTTTTTGGGGTGGGGAGGAGGGTTCTTGAGAGTGGGAGTTAAGAAACGGAGAGCCTGGCTACTGCTTTGGATGGGGCACCACCAGGAAATCCTCTGAAACATTCTGGAAGGAAACAAATAGGAAATCAATTCTGTATTGTGGTTAAGTGGGGGGGGGATGTTGGCATTTGGGACCAGGGCAGCCCATAAAGGGCAACATATGCTGCCCTCTGGTGGCTAATTTGGGGTATTTCAGCTGCCGAGAGTGGATGTTGCCCTCTGGTGGACATGTTTAGCCACTGCAGCTAATAGAAGTAGATATTGTTCACAATTTATGTGTACAACTCTATTCAAGGGTTGTTGTCTCGTGCTGCCCCTGGTGGCCAATGTGGGTACTGCAGCATACAGTAACACAGATAAGGCTTTCTTGGGGAGAAAGAAGGAAATTTGAGGGGGGGGGGGGGAAAGAGGGGTTGGTTACAAATGCTCATAATGTCCTTGTATTCAGCATCTGCCGGGCAGGGGATTTTCCCCAGGAGAGCAGCTCCAGCATCTTGAAAGAGCCTCCCCAGTCAGAGGCAGTCCACCTTAGCCAGCAGGGAAGAAAGAATGCTCTCCCTTTGGGCAACTCTGCAAAAATGGGAAAACCCAGTTTCCTCACCCCTCCCTTTGGGAAGGGTCTCCTCTTTGAGACAGGAGTGAGCCCCCTGCCTCAATGGAGCCTCCCCGTGCAGAGGCAATCTACCTCAGCACGGCAGGACACAAAGGACCTTTGCTCAAGACTCCAGTCTCCCCTTTGAGCAGCTCTGCAAACGGAGAGACCCCAGCCCAGCTTAGGAAGGGTCTAACCTTGGGGGGGGGAGGTGAGAGGAGCCAGCCCCTCGCCTCGGTGGAACCTCCAGGCACAGAGGCACTCTACCTCCACCCATGGGGACCCCTCAACATCCCCGCCGTGCCTACCTCCTCCGCTCTCCACAGCCTAATGTGTACACTGGAAAAAATTGAAATTGCAAGGTGTAGTAAGGGAAGCCACCTTAGCAGGAACACCTGTCTGGGAAGGACCTGTCCAGCTAATCCTCAACAACAACACTACACTTAGTGGCCAGTTACAACGGCACTCAGAAAAGTGACTTAGGACTGTTTTTCACCCTTAATGACCATTGCAGCATTCCCACCCACCCCCCACGTTCACATGATCAAAATTCAGACGTTTGGCAACTGACTTGTCCTTATAACGGTTCCAGTATCCCGGGGTCAAGTCAAGCCCCTTTTGCCACCCTCTGACCGGCAAAGTCAACGATTGACTAACTTAGCAACCGCAGTGCTTCAACTTAACTACTGTGGCAAGGTAGGTCACAAAACGGGGCAAAAAGGTAACAACCGTCTCACTTAGCGAAAGAAATGGGGGGGGCTGAGTTGCGGCCGTTAAGACGAGGACTGCCGGTAAGAGTTATAAGGAGCAGGAGGAGCCCCCCCCCGAGCACAGCAACACCTGCGGGGGAAAAGGGTGTGTATTTAGAACACCGAGGCGTTCAAGAACACCCCAAAGTGGGACCACGAGAACAATTTCTACCACAATTTTATTCTGGGAAAAACGAATGTACAAAACCGTTCCAGATCCGTTTGGCGTTTTAATCTTCCTCTTCCTCCTCCTCCTCGTCCTGGTTGATCTGGAAATACCGCAACTCGTAGCTCTCCTTCGTGTTGGCGACAACACGCAGCCAGTCGCGCAAGTTGTTCTTCTTCAGGTATTTCTTGGTCAAGTACTTGAGATACCTCAGGAGGAGGGAAAAAAGAGGAGAGGCATAAAAACAGAGAAAAGCGAGGCTGGAGGAAGAGCCAGACGGTCCCTCGCATCGGCCCTTTTTTGAGTTTGATTCTGAATTTATCCTCTGAACTTTTCTTGTTATCTTTTTGCATGGAGAGGTGTTTTTTTTGTTGCTGTTATTTTTGAATTTATTCTGTTTTATCTCTTTTGAGTAATTTGTTTTCTTTCAAATTTGTGTACGTGTTTTGTTTTGTTTCGAATTTATTTCTTTGACAGGTTTGTTTTGTTTCGAATTTATTTTTGAGATTTTTTTTCCTTTTGAATTTATTTTTAATTTTGTCCAATTATGAACCTGTATCCCAAGTTAGGTTTAAACTCAGTTACTGATGACAGACCCTCACAAAAGTATTATCCCCAGCCCTGAAGAGCCAAACACCCAGTTGTAACATACACACCCAGCTTTGTTTATTCAGTCCCCAGCCCAGCCCCCCTGTTGGCAAGAGACCCCGGGGTCAATAGCCGTGCCCCCTCCCCCACTTACCTCTTGGAAAACGGGACCTCGGAGGTCACCGTGATCTTACTTTTACTCCTCTCAATTGTCACCGCTCCTCCGCCGAGGTTGCCGGCTTTCCCGTTGACTTTGATCCGTTCTTGCAAGAATTGTTCCTGGGGGGGAAATATCAGTGGGGGGAGGGTTATTATTATTATTTATTGAATTTATATAACCAGACACAGCCGGCCCACCAATTGTTTTTTGACTTTTTTCCTCCAGTCTTCAAAGAGTTTCCAGTTGAAGGAGTCCTAGTCAGGGGCTCTGAAGTTGGTCAGACCTCAATGAGATCTTTCAACTTGATTAGCCCGAACAGCATTGGGAGTCAAAGCTCCGGGGAATGAGAGGAGCTGAAAACATTGGGATAGTTGCCTTAAGTAGTAAACAGACCTCAATCTCTCTCAATTACTTTTATTTTAACAACTGTTTTGTGTCTGGACCATCAAAAGTTATCACAGGTAGTCCCGACTTACGCCCATTCGTTTAGTGGCCCAAGTTACGACGGCAGTGAAAAAAAGGGACTTAGGACCAGTTTTTCACACTTACAAACGTCACAGCATCCGCAGGGGTCAAAATTCAAAGGATAGGCAACTGACTTGTATTTATGATGGTCGCAGTATCACGTGATGCCCCTTTCGTGATCTGACCAGCAAAGTCAATGGGGAAGCCAGATTTGCTTAACAACCATGTGACTCGCTTAACAACGGCAGTGATTCACTTAACAACCGTGGCCAGAAAGGCTGTAAAAAGATTCACTTCACAACCGTCTGGCTTGGCAGCAGAACATTTGGGCTTTCTTGGCGTCATAAGTCGAGGACTGCCTGTGTTCTATCCCCAGCTCGGACGCAGCTTTTGAATCATGCACCCGTTACCACGGGAGCGGCATTGGGGCTAGTGTGGCAAATTCC